TCACGCCCCTTCCGATCCTCCTCAGCTCCTCCATTATCAAACTTCTCACTTCTCCTGGCATTTCCAAAGCCGTCGAATCCAAGCTCATAAATGCAGCGAGTTCATATACGCACCACAGACGATCAAAGTAGCACTTCGACCACATCACGATGAGGGAGGAGGTCCGACGCAAGTAGCTCCCCAGCGACCGAATGCCGATCTCCTTCAGGACGGGCTGAGACAAATGAAACCATTGCGAAGAAGGAGAGGATATAGGAGCAATTAAAATGAATTTATACCGTATTAGACTTTCACTCCTTCAACGTGAAGTGGTGTAATACTCCATGTGAATTCAAGACGTGTATGTCGTCAATAACACACTTGTTTCCACGAAATATATTTTCACTTGTGTTTTTCGAGTAAAACTCCATCCTACGACTCAGTCGAAACGTGACCCAATTTCACACACTTCGAAACCCCAACGTTTTTCATCAACAACATAAACGTCCGAACACTCTCCATTTCGATACTATGATCATTCCACACAAGTATAGCATAAAATCCCATCACTGCATCTAAGCCTTGTTGACGTTATAGCCTCAAACATTTCGTCATTTCGTCAAACATTTCGCCAATTCGTCCGAAAGAAAAGGAATACTCTCCTCAGCTACACTTCTACTACCATTCCATGACCAACAAAAACCTACTGAGAAAATTTCGACTAGCGCCGACGAGAAATTTAACCGGTGTGGGACGATGTGAAAAGTGAGCAACTACATTTGTGAAAATTCTGAGGAAAATTCCTATTGGTTTCTGAGCACTTCTACCCGAGTTCGTATGAGAACTCCTCTAATTAGCGAGGAAACTTCCAAGCTCAGCTAAGGCAAGCGAACATATATTCCAACACTGAGTTGAACAACTCGCAAATATTCAAAACTTCCTCCCACATTACTTACATCATCCTGTGGGATGCAACAGTTATCTACAAAGAATTTATAACTACTTCTCGTAATTTGAAAATTTGGTAGAAGTAGTACTATTATAAACACGCCAGTACCTACCCCAAGCGAAAGATTCAAAACAGGCCCAAATGCGGTCCATATCTTACTCATACATGCCAGCAGATGAGCAGTAGGAATATGTCGATCATCAGAAACCCGCCAGAAGTAGAGAACGACCGCCAGCTCAACTACAGCCGTTACTATGGCCGACCAAGAGGCTCGTTGGTAGTTGAAGAGATAACACAAAGCCACCAGCCTAAAGAGGAGGTTCATACAGTTGAGCGGAGCGATGTCGATTACTTTTCCCACCAGGGGGCTCCCCAGGAGTGGCTGACGAAGAAGTCAAGACGCTCGACTCGGACGGAATTCGAATAGCTTCTATGGAGGGAGTGGACAGTATGGTGACGTTGGCGGAAGGGATTATCTAAAAATACCGCACCGAGATTCGAACCCGGGTCGTTAGCATGATAGCCCACATATCCATCTCATTAATCTATGCGCAGGCACTCCTCGTAATGTTAAAGACCAGGAGTCTCCCAGCTCGTCCATAGCTACAGCAATGGCGCCTCCAGCTGAGGTTACCACCATCCCTAGCAAACCACCACCACCATCACAGATCGGCACCAACCGTCTCCTCCTTAGTACCGCCTTCCTCGACATCGTCTCCCTCCATCTTCCCTTCACATTGATCCTTAATCATAGACAAAATAGCATAAACTGCGACCGCCATACGAGAGGTCCCCGGATCGAACCCCACTGCCGTCACTTTTCTCCTCAACACAAACTCTAATGTTGCCTTTTCGACACCTTCCTCAATATCCATGAATGGTCGTGAAGGGGATCCAAGCCTCTATAAATGTTCTCAAAGAGTGGTATCAAAAATCGTACAGTAAAAGAAATAAATTATATGATAACAATTACAGAATTGATACGATGAACGGTGTATTAAATTCTACAATTTACAGCGGAGCGAAGCTCTCGATCAAAAACTTCAACGTGTCAAAAACTCAGGCTTTCAGGGCTCGTCACCACATCTCGATTCAACTGCATCAAACACCCGAAAAGGGAATCGCTGACGGAGATGAACAATCTGCTCGAGTCCGGGCTGAAGCCCAAACCCGCTACGTTGCCAAATATGTCAACCACCTGATGCCAACTATGACCGCGCGCCACGAAATTCCTCTAATACCTGCTCGCACGTAAAGTTCGACTGGGTGTCCACAACATGCACCAAATCAGCCGGCTCAGCAAAAGCCAGAAACCTAAGGCGATCACTCTTCAACGACATTGTTGAATGCCCACAACCACATTTACTACTTCCCATCTCTAGAGAAATGACAGGTCCTGACCGCCCCCAATACCGTACCCAACGATTTCAGTGGTTGCTCCTGCTTCAGATTGCGTACGTCCCATACACGACAAGTGCCGTCCTAAACGCGAACCCTCAATAAGGAGAGCTCCGTTGAATTTTCACTATCACACCTTAGTGGAGTTCCATCCGCTTCACGTGAAATGCGGTAAAACCACTATGCAGTGGTTTGTGACATATATATTTCTTACTAGTATTTTTTCCATATCACGAGTGAATTGATTCGAAATAGATACTGGAAAACAGTAGCGAGAGTCTTCGTCTATCCTTAATGTGGACCCAACCCTCCCTCCCCAACCACATCTGTGATTCCCTACCTGATTCCCAGTGGCCAGCAGATTGCCGTCTGGATGCCATGTCGAACAAAAGCCGTAGTCCAGATGGCCTTTCAACACCATCGCTCTCTGCAACTTGGACGAATTCCGACGGTCCGATATTATAACAGCCTTGTCGTCTCCCGAGGCGCACAACACGCGAGAGTCTCGAGGGTTCACAGAGACGTGATTCACCGACCAGGAGTACCTACACACATACCAAAAACCATCCGAATTTCCTCGCTCTCAGACTCTAAAATTCTTCATCCACTTCGATACAGTAAGCACACCAGTAGAGATGAATCGACGATTCCCTTCTTGAAAGGGAATCGTATGGCAATGTAAATTCCAGCCTCCACCGAAAAGAGGATGTTCTAGTGTGATGTAGCGTGGTGGCCTTGGTAGTACGTGGCCTCCGAGACGACAGCTCCCCCTTGTGTAACGTCGATATCGCGCAGGACTCGGTCGTTGTTGGCAACTATCAGATGCAGGGGATCACAGCCCATCCTGTAGAACTCCTGGCTATCGAGGAATTGGTTGTAAACCTGTGAAGGAATAAAATGCACCCACATAGATTCGAACCCGGTACCAACGCATAGCCAAACCACTGCCATCCCCACCTACACTATTCGAGAACTTTCTCAACAGGTGTTCTTCAAAGATAGTGCCGTCCAGGTCCATCCTTGGGTACCTCCTCTCGCCACTTCCGACATCCTCCTCCTCTCCCAGTGGCGTCATGAACACATCATCAAAGCCATGACCTCCTTCCACACAGCCGATCGAAGGTTCCCCCTCCACCGAAGTACCACCAAATATCCGCCTAAGTCGACCACTGCTGTCACTATCACATCAATACTCTCACCGTTGGAGAGGCTTCTCATCCTTGGACACTTCCGGAGAAAAATACCCGTTAGTCGGGAGAATCAAAGAGTAGTTAGTAATGTTATTATTCGCGTCGCTCATACGCGCTCTCAGCACCTGCAAAAATTCGACCTAATCCGTATCTTCCACCAGACAACCTCGGATACTTCCTCCGACCAACTACCTCTCCAGCATCATGTGTTCTCGATACGATCACTGTCGAGTCGAATCCTCCCGAAACCGCAAAGCCCCGATTAACATCAATACTCGACAGAGTGTGAACCGGCTGGGAATGTATCGTCTCAGCGGCGCCCGTCAGAG